CAACGAAGAAAAATACAGGGTCCAGCAGAAGTAACACCTGCTTCAGTGTGGTTGGTAGGGCAATAATATGAGTGTACTAACTGATAGTTTTAATTTGAACATTTCACCGAAAATGTGATATGGTATGCTTAAGTGTGATATTGTTATGTTACAGAATTATATGCTTATGACTTTATAATAAAAGATTTTGCACTAAAAGGGGGTGTTGTTTGTACCAGACCCTGTATAACTCTCACTAGAATCTCATATTATTAAATCAATGTGTGAGCCTAAGTATCATCAACACTTTGCAATGGATGTGATTTTAACATTTGTTCAAACACTGCCTGAATAAGCCAGTCCGTATTTTTGGGTAGTTACCATACAAAAAAATTATATATTGTTGATGCCAGAATGTTCCTGAAAGTGACTGTTGGCTTTTAAAGTAGTGTTCCAAGCTCCAGGGCTTAACATTACAATACAAACAGAGCATGTTCCACAGGAGGCACAGGCTGGCACTAATGATGGTGAATTCCTACGTGGTGAATCCCTGGCTGACGTGGCTCAGTGGAGTGAGTGACAGCCTGGGATCCAAAAGGTCACAATGGTTTGGTTCCCAGTCAGGACACATGCCTGGTTTATGGGCCAGGTCCCCAGTTGAGTGTGTGAGAGAAACAACCACACATGGGTGTTTCTTTTTCTCTCTTTCTCCCTCCCTTCCCCCATCTCTAAAAATAAATAAATAAAATATTTCAGTAAAATGCTTCTAATTTGTAAGAAAAGAATACACAACAAATGTTGGAGAGGTTGTGGGGAAAAGGGGTCTCTAGTTCACTGTTGGTGGGAATGCAGACTGGTACAACCACTATGGAAAACAGTATGGAATTTTCTAAGAAAACTAAAAATGGACCTGCCTTATGATCCACCAATTCCATTGCTGGGACTATATCCTAAGAACCCTAAAACACCAATCCAAAAGAACCTATACACCCCAATGTTCATAGCAGCACAATTTATAATATCCAAGAGCTGGAAGCAACCTAGGTGCCCGTCAGTAAATGAATGGATCCCAAAACTATGGTACATTTACGCAATGGAATTCTACGCAGCAGAAAGAAAGAAGGAGCTCCTACCCTTTGCAACGGCATGTATGGAACTGGGAAGCATTATGCTGAGTGAAATAAGCCAGGCAGTGAAAGACAAATACCATATGCTCTCACCTTTAACAGGAAGCTAAACAACAAAAAAACCAAGCAAGCAAAATAAAAACGACACTGAAATCGAGAAGAGGGGGACAGGACTGGAGGGGAGAGGGGAGGGAATTTCAGGGGAAAAAAGGAAAGGATTTATAGGAACTAGTATAAAGGACACATGGACAACAACTAAGGGGGGTGGAAAGGGGAGAGAGGTGGGAGACACAGGGGGGGTGGGCTGGGATGGGAGTAAAAGACAGAATACTGTAACTTCCGCCAAGATGGAGGCATAGGTGGAAGCACTTCGCCTTCTCACACAACCAAGTTTAAAAACAACAAAATTGCAGCCAAACCATAGAAAATTGAAATACACAGAAGTCTGACAACAACGAATTCTTCAGCCAAACTGGTAAGAGGGGCAGAGCCAGCAGCAGAGAGGGGTTGGGCAGGAAAGATCCACTGGACCCGGGCGCGTGACGCAGGTGCGCCAGTAGCTGTGGGCGGATCCCAGGTGTGGAGTAGTGGGCGGACCCACTGAGGGCTCACCACGGTCACACATTCGCGTGCAGATAAACCAGTGAAGGAGCTAGCGGTGGTGAGACGGACCAAGCAGGCCCCAGCAGCGGGAAGTGGCAGAGAGAACAGCTATTGTCCCTCTCTGACCCCACCCCTACATACAGCCTCACAAACCAGCGACCTGGGTGGCCCCGCCCTGGTGAACAACTAAGGCTCCCCTCCTCATATGTAACAGGCACAAACAGATCAAAACATAGCTCAAGAACAACTCAGAGCCCCATAGCCGATAAATCTAACTGATGAAGAAATAGCCAAACTTTCAGATGCATAGTTCAAAACACTGGTGATCAGGATACTCACAGAACTGGTTGATTTTAGTCACAAATTAGAGGAACATAAGGAAGCTAAACTCATTGAAATGAAGGGAAATACACAGGAAACCAATAGTAATGGAAAGGAAACTGGGACTCAAATCAAAGCAGTGGACCAGAAAGAGGAAAAAAATGACCAAACAGAAAAGGATGAAGAAACAAGAATTCAAATACATGAGGAGAGGCTTAGGAACCTCCAGGACATCTTTAAACGTTCCAACACCCGAATTATAGGGGTACCAGAAGGGGAAGAGGAACAGCCACAAGTGGAAAACTTATTTGAACAAATAATAAAGGAGAACTTCCCCAATCTGGCAAAGGAAATAGACTTCCAGGAAATCCAGGAAGCTCAGAGAGTCCCAAAGAAGTTGGACCCAAGAAGGAACACACCAAGGCACATCATCATTACATTAGCCAAGATTCAAATGAAGGAGAGAATCCTAGAAGCAGCAAGAGCTAAGGGGACAGTCACCTACAAAAGAGTTCCCACCAGACTGTCAGCTGATTTCTCAAAAGAGACTTTACAGGCAAGAAGGGGCTGGAAAGAAGTATTCCAAGTCATGAAATCCTAAGACCTACAACCAAGATTGCTCTATCCAGCAAAGCTTTCATTTAGAATGGAAGGACAGATAAAGTGCTTCTCAGAGAAGATCAAATTCAAGGAGTTCATCATCACCAAGCCCTTATTATATGAAATGTTAAAGGGACTTACTTACCTAAGAAAAAGAAGATAAAAAAGATGAACAGTGAAAGGACAGCAAACTCAGTTATTAAGAACCACACCTAAAACAAAAGCAAACTAAGAGGACAGCTAAATCAGGAACAGAACCATAGAAATGAAGATCACATGGAGGGTTAGCAACAGGGGAGTGAGAGGAGGAGAAGGGGGGAGAAGGTACAGAAAATAAGTAGCATAGACGGTAGGTAGAAAATAGATGGGGAGGGCAAGAATAGTAGGGGAAATATAGAATCTAAAGAATTTGAGACACGTGGTCATAAACTAAAGGGAGGAATGGTGGGGGAGGGGATATGCAGGGTGGAGGGGAATGAAGGGGAAAATAGAACAACTGTAATGGCATAATTAATAAAATATATTTAAAAAAGACAGAATACTGTAGTTGAAAATAATAAAATTTAAAAAATTTAAAAAAGAAAAGAATACAAATTTATACACCTAATTTTTTCACTTTATTTTTTATTTTTTTTTTACTTAATTTTATTTTTTTAATTTTTTAAAAGATTTTATTTGTTTATCTTTAGAGGGGAAGAGAAGGAGAGAGGGAGAGAAACATCAATGTATAGTTTCCTCTCATGCATCCCCTGCTAGGATCTGGCCTGCAACCCAGGCATGTGCCCTGACTGGGAATCGAACCGTGATCTATTAGTTCATAGGTCCACGCTCAATCCACTGAGCAACCAGCCAGGGCAAGCTGGCTGTACGGTAGGTCTCTGTGGCTGGTTCATACTGGAACTACTTGACAGACAACCTCGAAGTCTCATCTATCACATTATGTGCCAAAATTAACACTGATGCAAACTGCATAATCATACTATTGGGTTAACAGACAACCTACCTGATAATAATATGACAAACAATAATTTTTAATAATAATAAAATAGAACAGCAATGAAAATCTAAGGCTAGCCCTACTTTAGCTCAGCTGGTTAGATCATCATCCTGATACACCAAGGTTGTGGGTTCAGGGCCCAGTCAGGGCAACCAATAAATGCGTAACTAAGTGAGACAACAAGTCAATGTCTGTCTGTCTGTCTTACTCAAATCAATTAAAAAAAAACCAAACCAACAAAAAAACCTATGGCCAAAAATAATGAAAATAAAAGCAATTAAGGAAGAAGGAAAAATTACAACCAGCCCAAGAAAATATTATGATAAAATTCTTCCTAGAAAACTGCTAGGATTGCCTTCAAGGATACTTTAACAATGGAGGATTTGCAATATCATTTGAATACTGACTTTGAATCCTCAGTAAACTTCTTTACATGCTAATTTCCACACAATGATGTTTCTCCCTCCCTTCCAAATAAATAAAATCTTTAAAGATCATTAGTCATTTACAGATGCACCAGAGAAATACCTACGCTAAGGCCTTACCTGAGCAATGAAATCTCCCCCACAGGCCCGTCACCAGGGGATTTGAAAAGACCCAGATGATTCTCACATACAGGGGTTTAAGAACTCCTGACTTACATTAGGTGATAAGAATGACAATAGTGCATTACAAATGTGTTTTTTTTTCCCAACTACCACTCAGTTTTCCATTTGTATGAATTAACCAGTACTCCTTAATTCAACCTAGTGTGACAATTTATGAAGCCAAAATACTGACCTTAAAGATCTTAGTATTCACTAGATGGAGTACAATGCTAAGACTGATTACATGAAAATACGCTGTTCTGTCTTTTTAAAAAAGACTTTATTTATTTATTTTTAGAGAGAGAGGAAGGGAAGGAGAAAGAGAGGGAGAGAAACATGTGCGAGATCGATTGGCTGCCTCTCACACACTGCCAACTGGGGACCTGGCCTGCAACCCAGGCATGTGCCCTGACCGGGTATCAAACCTGCGACTTTCCAGTCTGCAGTCTGGCACTTGATCCACTGAGCTACACCAGCCCGGGTTGTTCTGTCTTATTTTTTTAAACTCTATTCTAATCATTACTTAGAACATTCAATTTAAAAGCATAGCCTTCTGTTTGCTATTAAGAGCATTAAAAAGCATTATTTTCAACTGAAAAAAAATCCAACAACACTATAGCACTACATTTATATAATACTACACTTAAGGTGCATGCTTCTGAGGAATATAAAGCTTTACTGTACTAAACATAATAAATAAAAAATAACAGTATTTAAGAGGCAAATTATATGGCAATTAACACTGAAAATCATTTTAAAAAGTACTGGATACCTGACCAACCTTACCTTTTGTAGACTTGTTGGATTCAACTGAGTTTTGTCTATTATTTTTATTGCAACCTAGAAAAAAATAAATAAAAATTTATGGATTTTAAGAACTTGATAATTACAAACTAGTAAATTTTGTAAATGCCCAGACACGTGGTATTGTTAAAAAGCAAGTAAACCTCAAACCTAAAACTCAAGTACTTTAAATAGTATTTTATATTTTATAATTGAAAAGAGGGGCTTTGTGCAAATAAGAGTAGTATTATAACATTTTATATGAAGATACCTGTAGACATAGGGCAATATTATCTCCCACAAACCAAAAAATAAAATGAGAGATTAAACAATGAAAACACTTCTAAAAACATCACACTGCAGCAAATCTATCTATTCACTATCTACTGACCCTTTAACCACATCTGATTCTGAGACCCAAGGGCAAGAAGCACAGTTTCGATAGGTTTATAGCTCAGAATGTCCCCTGGAGTGTTTTGCATACAGTGGGAACTTGGTAATTGAGTACATATATGAACAAATACATAAATGTTGAATCTACAAACCTTAAAAGCCTTTTATTTTCAAAAAGATAGAAGAGATATATGCACCCCTATGTTCACTGTGGCATTATTTACAATAGTGAAAATATGGAAGCGATCTAGTTGTCCATCAGTAGATGAATGGGTTAAGACGTGATTACTTACACACCCACACACCCACACACACACACACAGAATATTACTCGGCAATAAAAAGAGTGAAATTTGTAACAGCATAGATGGAGCTATAAGATATCACACTAAATAGAGATGAGTCAGACAGAGAAAGACAAATACTATAAATTTCACTACGTGGAATTAAAAAAAAACAAAACAAATAAACAACAAATGAAAACAAAACCAGATTCCTAGAAACAAAGAACTGATGGTTGCTGGGGTGAGGGGTTGGTGGGAAATGCAGGGGTGGGTGGAAAAAATTAAGGAAAATACAGTCGATAACAGTGCAATAAGTGTACCAGACTTAGTGTGCTATTCACATTATCAGGTACATAAATGTAGAATCACTACATTGTACACCTGTACGCCAACTATAGTTTAATTTTTTAAAAAAGACAGAAAAGTCCTTAGGCAGTTAAAGAAAGAAAAGGGACTAATTCCAGACTAATCTGTAGACTGAGTGAAACATATACAGAGGCAAAAAACTGGGTCAAAAGGAGTGAGTGTACCCTAAACAGTCTAAAAACAAGCCACTCGGAAACTCCCAAAAGAACCCCAAACCCTGTAATTTCTAGTTACATGCACTTCTTATCTTTAAAAAAAGCAAAGAAAAACAAAACAAAACAAAAACAAAACCAGCTTTGCTCACACTTAATCAGTGAGTCCAGACCCGAATCCTCTCCTGGTTGGTCTGTCCATTCTCTCTCATAAAAGTGATTTCCAGAAACTACAAACACCCGGAATGGGGAGACAGAGTGCCAAAAGAGGACCGAAGGAAACTGGAACTAAGAGAAAGGCTCCGCTGTGAACTGGGGGACGTAAGTGAGTAGGCTCCGCACTGGGGCCCAGGCTTGCTTCCTGCTACGCGTGCACTTGGCAGCTCCAGTAAGAAGGGCAGGGAAGGAAGAGGCTGCAGCCAACGCTTGAGGAAAGAAGGCACTCACAGAGTCTGTATGTCAACGGTTCTCAAACATTTCAGTCCCCTTGCCACTCTGAAGAGTACTGATGACACCAAATGTCAGTTGTACCTATTGATATTTATCCTATTACAAATGAAAACTGAACAAGTGTAAAAACAAGTGAACAATTCATTCCAAAATAATAATATCCAACAAATGGCGCTGGGAAAAACTGGATAACCATGTATTTCATACATGCAGAAGTATGAAAATGGACTTTTACCTAACACCATATAAAAAAATTAGCTCAAAGAGGATCAATGACCTTAAATGTAAGGCCTAAAACTGACATTCTTAGAAGAAAACAGGGCAAAAGCTTCATGACATCGGATGTGGCAATGATCACTTGGATATGACACCAAACTGCATCAAAAGGCAACATGCAACACTTTATCATGGCTCCTCAGAGGCAGTCGGCTGCTTTGGGATACAGCTGACCACTCCTCTCTCAGACACTGCCTGCCAGAAACTCCCTGAAGTGGATAATAAACCCAAACTTTGTACCTTTTATGAGAAGCGTATGGCCGAAGAAGTTGCTGTTGATGCTCTGGATGAAGAATGGAAGGGTTATGTGGTTCATATCAGTGGTGGAAATGACGAATAAGGTTTCCCCACACAGCAGGGTGTCTTGACCCATAGCTACATCCACCTGCTACTAAGGGGTACTCCTGTTACAGACCAAGGAAGGCTAAAGAGAAAAAGCGCAAATCTGTTCGGGCTTGCATTGTAGACACCAATCTTAGTGTTCTCAACCTTGTTACTGTGGGGGGCAGGGGGGAGGAAAGAAAGGTATTCCTGGTCTCAGTGATACCACCCTCCCTCACTGCCTGGGGCCTGAAAGAGCGAGCAGAACTGACAACCTTTCAATTTCTAAGGAAGATGATACCCACCGATACGTGGTGAGGAAACCCCTGCACCAGGAAGGTAAGAAACCTCAAGCCAAAGCACCCAAGATTCGGCATCTTGTCACCCCACGTACCCTTCAACACAAACATCAGCTTATTGCTCTGAAGAAATAGTAAGAAGAAAAATAAGGAAGAGGCCACAGAACATGCTAAATTTCTGGCTAAGAAGATGAAGGAGGCCCCAAGAAAGCACCAGGAACAGACTGCCAAGAGACATAGGCTGTCCTCCCTCCAAGTTTCCACCTCTGAGTCTGAATCCAGTTAGAAATGAGATCTTTAAGGGTGAAAAGTACATAAGATCAGACATCAAAAAAAATAAATAAATACAGCCCTGGCTGCTGTGGCTCAGTGGATTGAGTGCTGGCCTGTGAACCAAGGGTCACTGGTTCGATTCCCAATCAAGGCACGTGTATGGGGTGCAGGCCAGGTTCCCCCACTAGGCGGCACACACAAGAGGCGACCACACATTGATGCTTCTCTCCCTCCCTCTCTGTCTAAAAATAAATATTTTTTTAAAAAAGATAACATCAACAGAGTCAAAAGACAACCCACAGAATGGGAGAAAAATATTTGCAAATCATACATCTGATAGAAGATTAATATCCAGAATATATACAGAACTTCTAAAACTTCAACAACAACAAAAACTCAATTCAAAAATGGGTAAAGGACTTCAAGAGACATTTCTCCAAAGATACACAGAGGCCAATAAGCACATGGAAAAGATGCTCAACATCACTTGTCATTCGGGAAATTCAAATCAAAGCTAGAAAACAGCACTGCACAAGAAACTACCAAGAATCGATCAATTCACAAAGTAAGGCTTGGTGAGGATGCACTGTTGGTAAGAATGCAAAAATAATATAGCCTCTGTAGAAAACAGTGCAAAGTTCCTAAAAATATTTTTAAAAGAATCAGCATCTGACCTAGAAATTCCAGGGTACATACCTGTAACATTTCAGCGAAATTCTCACACACCCTTCTGTATTCAATTTGTTGTGATATCACACATCACACAGCCTTTGGAAAATTCTACTTTACACGTGTGAGAATGGAAAAAGCAAACAGTATTATAAAAACTGTATTACGAAAATTGTATTACAGTATTACAAAAATTGTTTCCACTTTGCAGGCCTACCAAAACAGTCTCAGTAAACCCACAGAGTCCCCATGCTTACTTCGAGACCGGCTGCACTGTTCATATTAACGCTTAAAAAAAATGCTTAACTTGGTCTAAAGCCTCCATCTGCCAAAGCAGAGGGACTACAGGAAGGGAAACGCTGCAGTACAGCACCCGGGGAACCCAGTCCTGCAGTGGAAGGAACCACCACCCCTCATCCCTGCCTGGGGGATGCAAAATCAGAATCGGAGCAGGAGCAGAGTGTGTGCAGCTGAAAAAAGCAAAGTCAGGATTCTAATTCTGTATTTGGAAAACATAATTATCTTGATGGAAACTATACAAATAAAGTGAGAGGAAATACTGGCTGCTGGACTATGCCAATAATGGCCTACCTGGGACTGTCTCAAACAGGGAGAAGACACCTTGTCCACTGTCACAGCCCTCACACACAACGTGTGCATGGGCAGCACTCAGCTGACCCAAGGTCTAGACCACTTATACCTGTAATGGCATAAACCTTGGAGATGGAGATGAAACAGTGAGGAAATAAGGTTTTGGTATTTTAACAGATACCAAGGTAGTTTAAAAAATGGTATCACTTCAAAGTTGAATGACTGTTTTTTAAACTTTACTTTCATAAGTGATTTTAGGTGGAACACTTGGACCTCCCAAATTCCACAGAAACCCCAAAGAAATGCTGTGCTTTTCTGGCCATCACTCTGTTTTCTTCCTCCTTCTCATGGCCAGATACATCCAACATGCTGCCTTTCTAGTTCCTTTCTCCTCTGATCTCCTGGGACCTGGTTCCTTCTCATGACTGGACTCTTGATCACTGGTTTCTTCTGGTTCTGCTCAATACCTGCCTTCTATTCTAAGGAGTCTGTTCTGATTCTCTTATACACTTTCATTTTCAAGTAGTGCTATTCAATTAGTACCTAAAGCAAAAACAGGAGCTCAAATATGTTGTGCTCAACTAAATCAAACTGGAGAAGTCATTTTATCAAAAGCAATTGTCCTCAAAGTGTAACACTCATTTAACATGGTGTGTGTGTGTGTGTGTGTGTGTGTGTGTGTGTGTGTGTGTCACTAAAGTCTGAGGAGGAAGTTCCTAATCCCCTCTTCCTTCCAGCTCCCTGTCGGATGACTCAACTACCAAAATAACCTTGGCCCAGAGCTGGAGCCTGGAGGACAGCTCAGACCTAGGTCACCAAACAGGAGGCAACTGTTTGGTGCAACACTGCCTCGGGAAGATGGAGACTGGAGAGAAGACCACCCACCCATTCCCAAGTTTGTGGAGGGTTTTTTTGCAAGGGGTGGGCAATGCAGGAGAGAAAGTATATACAACAAAAGAGTGCTCACTAGGTAAGGAAAGAGGAGTGTCCCTGCCACTTGCGTGAAGTTCTGGGAAATTCCACTGATTTACCCTAATGTCAAGAAGCACAGTGGAAAATCACAGAATAAGAATAAAGAGAACTCGGACTTCCGCCAAGATGGAGGCATAGGTGGAAGCACTGTGCCTTCTCACACAACCAAGTTTAAAAACAACAAAGTTTTAGCAACAAAAACGCAGCCAAAACCACAGAAAATTAAACTATACCAAAGTCTGACAACAAGGAACCCTTCACCCAAACCAGTAAGAGGGGCAGAGCCAGCAGCAGAGAGGGGTTGGGCAGGAAAGATCCACCGGACCCAGGCGCGTGACGCAGGTGCGCCAGCAGCTGTGGGCGGATCCCAGGTGTGGAGAAGAGGGTGGACCCACTGAGGGCTGACCGTGGTCACACATTCGCGCACAGATAAACCAGTGAAGGAGGGAGCAGTGAGACAGACCATGCAGGCCCCAGTGGCGGGAAGTGGCAGAGGGGATCACCACTGTCCCTTTCCGACCCCGCGGGCACCTACAGCGTCACAAACCAGCGACCTGGTGGCCTCTCTCTGACCTGGGTGGCCCCCACATACAGTGTCACAAAACAGCAACCTGGGTGGCCCTGCCCTGGTGAATATCTAAGGCTCCTCGTACGAAATAGGCACAAACAGATGAAAACATGGCTCAAGAGCCCCAGAGCCGATAAATCTAACTGATGAAGAAATAGCCAAACTTTCAGATGCATAGTTCAAAACACTGGTGATCAGAATACTCACAGAACTGGTTGATTTTAGTCACAAATTAGAGGAACATAAGGAAGCTAAACTCATTGAAATGAAGGGAAATACACAGGAAACCAATAGTAATGGAAAGGAAACTGGGACTCAAATCAAAGCAGTGGACCAGAAAGAGGAAAAAAATGACCAAACAGAAAAGGATGAAGAAACAAGAATTCAAATACATGAGGAGAGGCTTAGGAACCTCCAGGACATCTTTAAACGTTCCAACACCCGAATTATAGGGGTACCAGAAGGGGAAGAGGAACAGCCACAAGTGGAAAACTTATTTGAACAAATAATAAAGGAGAACTTCCCCAATCTGGCAAAGGAAATAGACTTCCAGGAAATCCAGGAAGCTCAGAGAGTCCCAAAGAAGTTGGACCCAAGAAAGAACACACGAAGGCACATCATCATTACATTAGCCAAGATGAAAATGAAAGAGAGAATCCTAGAAGCAGCAAGAGATAAGGGGACAGTCACCTACAAAAGAGTTCCCATCAGACTGTCAGCTGATTTCTCAAAAGAGACCTTACAGGCAAGAAGGGGCTGGAAAGAAGTATTCCAAGTCATGAAATCCTAAGACCTACAACCAAGATTGCTCTATCCAGCAAAGCTTTCATTTAGAATGGAAGGACAGATAAAGTGCTTCTCAGATAAAATCAAATTCAAGGAGTTCATCATCACCAAGCCCTTATTATATGAAATGTTAAAGGGACTTACTTACCTAAGAAAAAGAAGATAAAAAAGATGAACAGTGAAAGGACAGCAAACTCAGTTATTAAGAACCACACCTAAAACAAAAGCAAACTAAGAGGACAGCTAAATCAGGAACAGAACCGTAGAAATGAAGATCACATGGAGGGTTAGCAACAGGGGAGTGAGAGGAGGAGAAGGGGGGAGAAGGTACAGAAAATAAGTAGCATAGATGGTAGGTAGAAAATAGATAGGGGGGAGGGCAAGAATAGTAGGAGAAATACAGAATCTAAAAAACTTGAGATACATGGTCATAAACTAAAGGGGGAGAACGGTGGGGTTGGGGGTGTGCAGGGTGGAGGAGAATGAAGGGGGGAATAGAACAATTGTAATGGCATAATCAATAAAATATATTTAAAAAAAGAATAAAGAGAACTCATGCATGACAAGGGCTTCCCTCACAACATTCCTCAACCCAAAGGGACCTAGAAGCCCACAGCACACACCCTCTGGAGGAAAATCCTATCTTCCACTTTCTGGCAATTCCCTACTAGTCAAAATATCCTAACATGCATCTCCAGACAGCTGTTAAGGCATCCACCATGACTGAAAGAGCAGATGAGAAGATCCCAAGTCCTTTAGGACACAGTGGCCTATTCCTTGGCTTGGGCTAAAATAACAAAAAGCATTGGGCAGCTTAAACAGAGGAAATGTATCCCCCACAGTCTGGGGGGCTGGGAGGCTGAGATCAGGGTGCCAGCATGGTCAGTTCCTGTTGAGGACTCTCCTCTGAGCTTGCACATGGCAGCCTTCTTACTGTGTCCTCACATGGTGGAGACAGAAAGCTCTTTCTTGTTTGTCTCTTATAAGGACACAAACCCTACTGGATCAGAACCTATACTTATAACCTGATTTAACCCAATTACTTCCATAAAGGCCCTATTCTCCAAAACTGTTATATTGGGGGCTAAGTCTTTTTTAAAAATATTTTATTTATTTATCTTTAAAGGGTAAAGGAAGGAGAGAGGGAGAGAAATATCAATGTATGGTTGCCTCTCGTGCATCCCCTGCTGGGAACTGGCCTGCAACCCAGGCGCGTGCCCTAACTGGGAATCGAACCCTGGTTGTTTGGTTCATAGGCCCACGCTCAATCCACTGAGCTACACCAGCCAGGGTGGGGGTTAAGTCTTCAACTTATGAATTTTGGGGGACACAATTCAGCCCTTGCAATAAAGACCAAGCCAAACAACTAAAACGGGTAGTACAAAATAAAACTTCCAATGAAAAACCTAACCATACACAACACGGAATAATGTCACAAGCATTATGGAATAAATACAGTGGAATAAAAAAAGTGGAATAAAACAGGCAGGCACAAAATATGTACTGAACGATTTCATTAGTATAGTGTTCAAAAAAACAACTCTGGTGTTAGAAGGCAAGAGAATGGTTACCTTGAGGAGGAAGAACCGTTAAGTGATTAAAGGAGGTAGAAGGAGGGCTTCTGGGTCCAAATCATGGCCCACTTTTTCCCTGGGTCATAGCACTGCAAACACAATTACTCTGTGATCTTTCATCAAGCTATACTCGCATACATGGTGATTTTAAGCACTTTTCTAGGATGTGTTATACATCAATAAAGGCTTTATTTAAAAAAAAAGTCAACGATGACTTTAAAAACCATAATGAACCCTGCCCAGGTAGCTCAGTTAGTTGGAACATCGTTCCAATGCATAAGTACAAATACAAACAAATTTAGCCACTGACTAGTCAGATGCAAGCACTTCTGGAGACAGAACCGACTAGACGGCCCCAGTCAGTTGGTGAGGGTGCTGTCCCAATACACCTAGGTTGCGGGTTTGATCTCCAGTCAGAGCACATTCAAGAATCAACCAATGAATGCATAAAGTGGAAAAACAAATCGATGTCTCTCCCTCCCAATCTCTCTAAAACCACCCCCCCCAAAAAAAAAGGAAAAGAAAAGAGAACCTACTAGATATAAAGCCAGTAGGCCAGGCTCCAGCCATGTGAGTGAAGCAAAGGGGAACAGGGCTGTCTGCCCACTCCTCTTCTCACCCACCCCTCTCCGCCCACACAAGGATATTGGCAGAATAACCACCTGGGACTGGTGGAAACCAAATTCAGAAGTTTTCTTCTTTAGTTCAGAAAGCTTTGATCAAGAACAAGAAAAACTCTACCCACTCTTTGCTGTTCACTGATTCCCAAAACAGTCCAGGCATTACAACAAGGAGTCCTAACCAGGAATGTGTCACTAAAATTGACGTGAAATTTGAAGAAGGAAGTCTTTAGTTGTGCCAGAAGATGAGGACATTTGTAGGGCACATGGCAGCGAACAGAGGCTGCCGGCTGGCAGGAACGACAGGCCCAGCCCCGCCCCAGCAGCCCTGGGCGTGACGAGCTGCCGGTCAGTCCCTCGGCAGACCTGTAACACCATCTTGGCATGTGCGCCAGGAGGATCTGGGACAAGAAAAGCATTTCTTTATAAAGCTTCCCTCAAAAGTATAATTCCAGTCAGACCACAATACCAAGTACCTGATATGTGCCAAACACTGACGCCTACCCTACAGACTAGAGGGGGAAAACAAGTAAACAAGTAACTTCAATAAATAAAAAACTTATTATCTAAGGAAATATGAGGATTTTTTTAGAAAGGTTTTATTTTTAGAGCGAGGTAAAGGGAAAGAGATGGAAACATGGATCAGTTGGGGCCTCTTGCAGGCTCCCAACTGGGACTGAACCCACACCCAAGCCTGTGCCCTTACTGGGAATTGAACCAGTGACCTTTTTCTTTGCAGTAATCAATGCCTAACCAACTGAGGCGCACCAGTCAGGGCAGGAAATACCAGGATTTTTAACATGAATCCCATGCCTGGGAAAGAGAGTCCGACAACTACTTCCCAGGAATGATATTGACCACAAAAGCCTGCAATGTGTTTCAGGCAGAGGAACAAACAAAAATCTAAATGCAAGAAACAAAGCACGATGTATACTGCCTGGGTAGAAAATGAGGAGACAGTTAATTTAGTAGTTTTGATAGAAGTATTTCTGATAACTACATAAAGTGCTTGAGCAGAAAGCCGGTTATCACAAGGCAGAAAAGTACATGCCATCGTCCACAACAACCCATCAAACATAAGCCATGAGAAGAGTACTTTGGGAAGATAAAGAAACTTCGTGAGTATAAACCCATTTAAAAAAACAGCACTAGTGATTTGCAAGTATCATGAGCTCATACATGAAGTTGAAAACAATTTTTACTATGGTAGCAGATACTATGAAAAAAGAACAAAACACTACCCATTTTTAAAGGCAAAAGATAACTCAAACAATCAAAGTAATATTTACAACATTTAAAGGAATGAGAAAGCAAAAGAATCACCAGATAATTAATGCTTATTTAAAAATGTTTAATTAGCTTAGAAATGAGCCCAAATCTATACATTCTCTTCCTGTTCCTCTCACATGGAGCTAAAAAGAACAAATGTAGTAACAGAAATTAGCATAATTCTCATTTACCTCTCTGCCTGTAAGGATGTGTCTTGCCAATTTCACTTTTGCAAAATTCCCTTTGCCGATTGTTTTCAACAGTCTGTAGTTTCCGATGTGAGGCTGTTCATCTGCACAGGAAGCTATAGAGTTTCTACACCGAGCTCCAGAGCGCCCAGTGCGAGAGGTCACTTCTTGCCGCCCATCTCCATGTGACGTGTGCTACAATACAACACACAACAAAGGTAAGGATGTGAGAACACACGGCACCCTATGGAACTGTAACGGTCTCTAGCTGAAAAAAAAAACAAAACATTACTGCTTTAATTTTAATCCTAGAGCATCTAACACTTTGAAGAAAGTTGCCCACAAGATAGAAATTTACAAGGAAAACAAGGGTGCTGAGAGGAAAAATACTCAGCACCAAATATTGCAGTTTGGCTAGGTACTTGAAGAGAGATCTTTATATACCCAGCGGTAACATGACACAGAAGCAACAAGCCTGCCAGCAGTCATTAGAAACCCAGCTTTTCCGTGTGCTATTAAATGCTTTGGCATACAGGACCCTATGCCACACCCTTGTGAAAGAGACACCATGCTAACATCACCTTCCCAGAGGAGGGGACTTCTGTGATTGACGCACGGCCACATCACTAGTGAGAGAAATCCAGAGAGAATCTGGATTCCCAATTTCCTTCTATACTATGCTGCTAACAATAATTCAAAACAATGTATTTAAATAAAGAGCCAGACTGTATGACCCTTGTGTGTTTTTTTTAATTGCTTATTCTATCACAGTTGCCCTGATTTTCCCCCCTTTGCCCCCTCCTCCACCCAGAACCACACACTCCCTCAGAAATCCCTAAACTGTTGTTCATGTTCATGGTTCATACATGTAAGTTCTTTGGCCACTCCATCCCTATATTGTACTTTACATCCCCGTGGCTGCTCTGTGAGGACTTATCAGTACTTCTTAATTCCCTCACTTGTTCAACCATTCCCCAACACTCCCCTCCCATCTGGTAACCATCAAAATATTCTCTGTATCCATGATTCTGTCTCCGTTCTAGTTTGCTTAGTTTGTTTTTCAGATTCATTGCTGATAATTTTTTTGGGGGGTGCCATTTTGCTGTTCATGGTTTCGATCTTTTTCTTAAGTTACTCCCTTTAAAATTTCATATAGCCCTGGCTAGTATAGCTCAGTGGACTGAGCCTGGGCTGGTGAACCAGAGGATCATGGTTCTATTCCCAGTCAGGGCACATGCCTGGGTTGCAGGCCAGTTCCCAGCAGGGGACACATGAGAGGCAACCACCGTACACTGATATTTCTCTCCCCCTCTCCTTTCCCTCTAAAGATAAATAAATAAAAAATACGTAAAAAAAGAAAATGGAAAACTAATACATTTTAATTAAAAATTTTTTTCACCTGGCTGGTGTAGCTCAGTGGATTGAGCGCGGGCCTGCGAACCAGAGTATCGCGGTTCGATTCCCAGTCAGGGCACATGCCTGGGTTGCAGGCCAGTTCCCAGCAGAGGACGCATGAGAGGCAACCATACATTGATACTTCTCTCCCACTCTTTCTACTTCCCTTCCCCTCTCTCGAAAAATAAATAAATAAAATATTTAAAAAAATTTTTTTTTCATATAATAATGGTGATGATGAACTCCTTTCGCCTTTTCTTGTTTGGGAACCCCTTTATCTGCCCTTTGATTCTAAATGACTGCTTTGCTGGGTAGAGCAATCTTGGTTGTAGGTCCCTGCTTTTTATTACTTTGAATATTTCTTGCCAATCCCTTTCAGCCCGCAAGTTTCTTTTGCAAAATCAGCTGAGAGTCTTACGGAAATTCCCCTGGAAGCAAATAACTTCTCTTACTGCCTGTAAGATTCTCTCTTAATCTTTAAACTTTGACATTTTAATTATGATGTGTCTTGGAGTGGGCCTCTTCGCATCCATCTTGTTTGGGACTCTCTGTGCTTCCTAGACTTGTATATCTAGTTCCTTCAAACTAGTAAATTTTTCTTTCACTGTTTTTTTCCAATAGATTTCCAATTCTTGTTCTTTCTTCTTCTCCTTCTGGCACCCATATGATGCAAATGCTGGACCTCTGAAAGTTGTCCCAGAGACTGCTTACACTGTCCTCATTTTTTGGAATTCTTTTTTCTTCTTGTTGTTCTGATTGGTTGTTGTTTACTTCCTTTTTTAAAATATCACTTTTTCCCATTTATTTTTTAAAAATTTTATTGATTATGCCATTATAGTTGTTCTACTTCCTCCCCTTCATTCCCCTCTACCCTGAACACCCCTCCCCCACCATTTCCCCCCTTTAGTTTATGACCACGTGTCTCAAGTTCTTTAGATTCTATATTTCCCATACTGTTCTTGCCCCCCCCCCATCTATTTTCTATCTACTGTCTATGCTACTTATTTTCTGTACCTTCTCCCCCCTTCTCCTCCTCCCACTCCCCTGTTGCTAACCCTCCATGAGATCTTCGTTTCTATGGTTCAGCTCCTGATCTAGCTGTCCTCTTAGTTTGCTTTTGTTTTAGGTGTGGTTCTTAATAACTGTGAGTTTGCTGTCCTTTCACTGTTCATCTTTTTTATCTTCTTTTTCTTAGGTAAGTAAGTCCCTTTAACATTTCATATAATAAGGGCTTGGTGATGATGAACTCCTTGAATTTGATCTTCTCTGAGAAGCACTTTATCTGTCCTTCCATTCTAAATGAAAGCTTTGCTGGATAGAGCAATCTTGGTTGTAGGTCTTAGGATTTCATGACTTGGAATACTTCTTTCCAGCCCCTTCTTGCCTGTAAAGTCTCTTTTGAGAAATCAGCTGACAGTCTGGTGGGAACTCTTTTGTAGGTGACTGTCCCCTTAGCTCTTGCTGCTTCTAGGATTCTCTCCTTCATTTGAATCTTGGCTAATGTAATGATGATGTGCCTTCATGTGTTCCTTCTTGGGTCCAACTTCTTTGGGACTCTCTGAGCTTCCTGGATTTCCTGGAAGTCTATTTCCTTTGCCAGATTGGGGAAGTTCTCCTTTATTATTTGTTCAAATAAGTTTTCCACTTGTGGCTGTTCCTCTTCCCCTTCTGGTACCCCTATAATTCAGATGTTGGAGCGTTTAAAGATGTCCTGGAGGTTCCTAAGCCTCTCCTCATTTATTTGCATTCTTGTTTCTTCATTGTTTTCAGTTTGGTCACTTTTTCTTCCTTCTGGTCCACTTGATTGATTTGAGTCCCAGTTTCCTTTCTATTACCATTGGTTCCCTGTGCATTTTGCTTCATTTCACTTAGTGAAGCCTTCATTTTTTCATCTAATTTGTGACTAAAATCAACCAGTTCTGTGAGCATCCTGATCACCAGTGTCTTGAATTGTGCATCCGATAGGTTGGCTATCTCTTGGTTGCTTAGAAGTATTGGCTCTGGGGCTTTGAGCTGTTCTTCTTCTTTTTTTTTTTTTTAATTTTATTTAGTTACTTTTCAAGTACTTTTTTTTTTTATCTATTTCTCCCATCCCACCCCACCCCCCCGCCCAGTCTCCCCCCTCCCTCCCATTCCCCCCCCCAGTCCTCATCCCTGTGTCCTTCATACTTGTTCCCCAAAATCCCTCCCCCTTTTTCCCCTTAAGTTCCCTTCCCTCTCCCCTCTGGTTGCTGCCCTGAGCTGTTCTTCTTGAGCCATAACGATCTGGTCCCGCCTGTTATGTATGAGGGGCAGAGCCTTAGGTGTTCACCAGGGTGGAGCCGCTCAGATTGCTGGGTTGTGACACTGTATGTGGGGGTGGGATCAAAGAGGGGCAATAGCGGTCCCCTCAGCTGCTTCCTGCCGCTGGGGCCTGCATGGTCCACCTCACTGCTCGTTCCTTCGCTGGTTTATCTGTGCGCGAATGTTTGACTGCGGTCAGCCTGCTGCCTTGTGCCCTCAAATTGGGTCTGCCTGGTGCAACCCCACGCCTGGGATCCGCCAACCACTGCCCACGCGCCTAGGTCAGTCTGACCGAGTTTTCCTGCGCAATCCCGCTCCTCCAGTCGCTGGCTCTGCCCCTCTTACTGGTTTGGCTGAAGGGTTCCTTGTTGTCCGACTTTGGTATAGTTCAATTTTCTGCGTTTTGGCTGTGTTTTTTGTTATTAAAATTTTGTTGTCTTTAAACTTGGTTGTGCGAGAAGGCATAGTGTTTCCACCTACGCCTCCATCTTGGCGGAAGTCTGTTTACTTCCTTATATTCCAAATTGTTGACTAGATTCTTGGCTTCATCTGCTCTACTGTTATTTCCCTGTAAATTGTTTTTTATTTCAATTAGTAAATCCTTCATTCTGACTGGATCTTTTTTTATGCTGCTGAGGTCCTCACTAAGTTCCTTGAGCATCCTTATGACCCATGTTTGTTTCTGTGTATTAGGCAGAGCTGCTTTGACTCCGTGTCTTGGTCATGTGGCCTAATGTAGCAGGTGTCCTGTAGGGTCCAGTGGCACAGCCTCCCCTGTCACCCAAGCTGGCTACTTGAGGTGTGCTCTTCCCGTGGGCTGCATACACCTTCCTCTTGTAGTTGAGTCTTGGTTGCTGTTGGCAGATCAATGGGAGAAGTTTACCCGGGCCAATCAGCTGCAAGGACTGGCTGTGACCACTGACCACCAACCACCGCCCTCCATGGAGGATCAGCCATGCAGGGGCAAGGTGGTGGTTCTCCAAAGTGGTTTGTTGCTGTCCACTGGGTGCACTGGCCCTGGGGTTTCCTGGGTGGTGCAGGCCAAAGTCAAGGTCAGCTCCCACCTGTGTTTTGCCTGGGGCCACCCTGCCTGAGCTATAAAGCAATCTGAGATGGCTGCTACTTGTGCTGGGCTTGGAGATTCCCAGGTGAGCCAAACTGTGCATCCAGGCTGGCTGCTGCTAGTGCCAGGCCTGGGGTCACTGAGGCCAGCTGCTGCTTGTTTGAGAGGATTTAGGCTGTTGTGAAGCAAGAGCCAAGACCATCCATTCATTTGGAAAAGCAGCTTGGAACCTGGGTAGGGTGGAGTCTGGGAATCTCCAAAGGGGATCACATAGTGTGAGTCAGGTTGCTGGAGTCTCAGATATGATACCAACTTGCAGGCTCTGTGAGGGGAGGGTTTACTGAAGAGACAATGGCCTCTGCTTGCCTGGATGTCAGATACTTCAGTTCCTCCTGTATACCTTTGGGGCCTTTCAAGTTGCTCCCTGGTGCTGGAGCTCAGAGGGAGTCAGTCT